CTCAGAGCGAGAGAGTAACATTGAAAAGTACGGGATCGCTTTCTAGTAAAAAATGGTAACTTCTGTCAACTTCAACATAACCTCCAAACTTTGGTTGTAAATTTTTGCTTATTTTGTATGTAAACACACTCAGGTCACACATGTAAATAACCAAATATATTTTCAAATTCATTAGAATCCACTTAAACATGTAATTAAATACTTTTCAACATGAATTAGCAGAGCGCACTTTTCTTTTGTTTACAATTTGGTTGCCAAACATACTACAGCTGATCGTTTGACACATGTACCAGAATTTACCAGCAAAAAATTCTCGGACTAAAACTGGTAGCTTCTGACAGAGAGAGAACCGTATTTACTCTCCTTTTTGTCCTCTCAATAGTCAGAGAACCGAGTACGGGATCGATTTCCAGTAAAATCTGACTGATTCTGACTATTTCTGACTAGTCCGGACTCGTACGGGATCGCAACTATTCTTGAATTTTAAGCGCATGTTTGACATATGCCATAAGATGACAAATCCATCAGGGTTGATTTTTCCAGTTCATATTTGTGATTTATCGTCGACTATTAGTATCATGCCATCAGGCATAGAATCCTCATCAGGTGGGGGTGGTAGGTTTACATAATTAAATTATAATTAATTATTTATTTTTATTTATTTATTTTTTACAGTCTGTTAGACTTATATTGCAACAAAGATTTAACATTCTTATAATTAGATTTTAGATTTAAAATGTAAATATTAAATATTAAATACAAAATACAAAATGCTCTACAGAAATTTTTAAATAACATTATTTCTTTATCACTGCAATTATTTTATGTCAATATAAACGCATGCAATTTCCTGGAAGTTATGTAGACGGTTGGAAAGGCCGAGTTTCCAATCCGCGCTATTCTTTTTGGGTTACTCCATTTATTGATATCTCCTGGGTGGTCAGAAAGGCCGAGTTTCCGATCCACCCAGTCGCGCTTTCGTGACGGTTGACGGTTGGAAAGGCCTAGTTTCCAATCCGCTCGTTTATTGTTTATTATCTAAGGGTCTAGGTAGTCGGAAAGGCCGAGTTTCCGATCCGCCTAGTCTCGATATCTTGGTGGTTGGAAAGGCCTAGTTTCCAATCCACGCTATTGTTGATACATCACTATCTTGTAGGCTGCGTTCTACAATAGTCAAATAGCAGCCGCTTGAAAAGAGTGATAGTATCACAATTTTTTATAGCCTCTGGTAATTCATTGAAGCACTTTAAGCCTTTATAGAAAATATTTTTTTTG